TCTTAATTTTTAACCCCTTGAATTAGACATTAGTGTTTACATTTTATACTACTGATTTTTTATGTTCCTACAAGTTTAACATTGTATTTTCCCCACCATTCCTTCTTGCCTTTCATTCCTTCTTTCCTTATAGCTTAGAGAAGATGCTACCCTCCAATGGTCCTAGATTGGTATGAGGGTCTCAGATCCCATCTCCCCATTCTGCTTGAGGCCTAGGCCTCATCTCCTACACTCTGAATATATAAGCCTTCGTAAACCACACTCCTCACTGCCAGGTGCCAGCACATGCCCTCAAGGCAAACTTGGAGTTTGCTTATTCTAATGGAATCAAATATCCTTGTCATATCCACCTGAGTCTTTCCCTTAGTTTCCTGCCAGCTCAACCATGATTTAAGCAAATATTTTAAATATATTATCCAGCATTTTTAGATGATCTGACCAGGAAGTTTTTCTCTGCAAGTAATTCTGTGTTGTTCCCTAAATAGTCTTGGGTAACTATTTTAGTATTCATCTTCTTTGAATTCATTTCACATAATGGTTTTACTTACTGTGTATGCTGCATTAGTGAAAAGTGTAAATGAAAAAGTCGTTTAGAAATCAAGTTGGTTAACAACTTTTTCAGTCACAACAAACATTTGTGCCTATCAATATGTATACCTTGCATAAACTAAGAACCATTTTGAAAGCTAGAATAATTTCCAAAACACTACCCTTTTTTTCCTGAACTCTAAGTATAAATATTGACCTCAACGAAATATATTTTTCCAACACCATATTATAAAAATTTTTAAACATCCAGGGAAGTTGAACGAATACATTTACCCCCTAGATTCTATCCATCATTTTACAATATTGTTTTATCACATATCTATCTGTCTCCCTTCCTGTACATCAGTTAATCTTACTTTTTGTTGCAGTGCAAAGGAAAATACAAGAATCAATACACTCTGGCTCAAATATTTCATAATCAGATTTTTAAAAAAATTTTAAATGTTTATTTATTTTTGATAGAGAGAGACACACAGACAGACATAGCACAAGTAGGGGAGGGACAGAGAGAGAAGACACAAAATCTGAAGCAAGCTCCAGGCCCTGAGCTGTCTGCACAGAGCCCAATGCAGGGCTCAAATTCATGACCTGTAAGATCATGACCTGAGCTGAAGTCAGATGCTTAACTGACTGATGAGACACAACATCATATTTTTATTTCTAGGCATTAAAATTCCCTTTTCCAACTTACTTGCTTACCATTTCCTAAGAATTAAAAAGCATGACTCTCTCTGTGACACAATCACATAGTTCCATACGAGTCAGAAAACAGTAGTAAAGTTAAGAGGGGAAATAAACAAGTGGAATGAATTAATTTTTAAACATTTAAAATGTTCCCATGTTAGTAAAATAAGCTTCATACGTGGCACATTCACTTGAAATGTTTGTCCTTTTATTTCATCAATATCTAGGAGTGCCTATTGTAGTTTCTATTTGTTTATAATAAAAAGTTCTTACTTGTTAATTCTTTCCTATTCAGTAATTCTGGACAACTATTCTACGTCATGAAGACAGAGAGGTGAACAATAACCTTCTGAACTTAGCTTAGGCAGTTGCATTTGTGCCTTCTGTGATACTGTGATTTACTTTAAGAAACATATATTTGGTCTTTATCCCATCCCTAAAATCCTTGGAATTTCTAAATGAAAAGAAAGTCTTTTGTTATTCGTAACAAGCCCCTTTCAACCACATCTGAGCTTAAGTTACAGAGGACAATCTGTGAAAGCCCCTAGCATGGGGGCTGGTTGTCAGTGGAAACAAGCACATGATTAAAGGATTGGAAATTTCAGTCCTATCCCCAGATCTGGGGCTGGAGAGAGGGGTGGAGGTTGAGTTATTACCAATGGCCAATTATTTAATCAATCATTCCTATGTAATGAAGCCTGCATAAAATATCCAAAAGGACAGGATTCAAAAAGCTTCCAAACTTGTTGAACATGTGGAGGTCCTAGGAGGGTAGCACTTCTAGAGAACGAGGTTTCATGTCCTTTTTCCTCTAACTTGCCCTATGCATCCCTTCATCTGGCTGTTCACCTGTATCCTTTAAAACATCCTTTAAGGGGGCTCCTGGGTGACTCAGTTGGTTAAGCATCCGAGACTTTGGCTCAGGTCATGATCTCACAACTGGTGAGTTCAAGCCCATCATCGGGCTCTGTACTGACAGTTCAGAGCCTGGAGCCTGTTTCAGATTCTGTGTCTCCGTCTCACTCTACCTCTCCCCTGCCCATGCTCACTCTCTCTCTCTCAAAAATAAATAAATTTTAACATTTTTTAATTAAAATAAATAAATAAAACATCCTTTAAAATATTGGCAATAGTAAGTAAACTGCTCTCCTGGGTTCTGTGAGCTGCTCTAGCAAATTATCGAATCTGAGAAGGGGATAGCAGCAAACTCCAATTTGTAGCCAAATCGGACAGAAGCTGTGGGTAACTTGGGGACTTATTACTTGCAGATGGCAACTGAAGTAAGGGCACTTCTGTAGGACTGATAATTTTACATGTGGGTTCCATGTTAACTTTCGTTAATGTCAGAATTGAATTGAATTCTAGAATCCCCTGCAGGTGTCAGAGAATTGGTCAGTGTGGGGGGAAAAAACCTCCTACCTATCTGGTGTCAAGAGAGTGAGTATGGGAGCAAAGGAAAACATATTAATTTTTTTTCTAGATACCTCCCATAGGTAAGGGTCTTCCAGCTTAATGATTTTATGAATTAGATTGCATCATTTAATTTACTGTAGTAAACACTTTATTTAGCTGTCTTATCAATATTTTACTTCTACTGCCTTCTATCTTCAATGTTAAAAGCCATGATTTATATTTACAGGGAACATTTCCTTATGAAAATTTATCACCTGGAACACATACAAAAAGGTGTCAAGAAAGGACATGAGAAATAAGTTTTAGAGTTTAGATTCATTTGCAATTGGAAGAAGACTGTCAAGATAATTTTTCATACTTGCTAATGACAAAAAGATCTATGGACTTCCTCTAATGTCAAGATAAAAACAAAATTGTTTACAAAAATAGTTATTTTAATAACCAACATGGATAACTGTCCTCATATATGCATACTATGACCTCATGCTTTATATGCTGTATGAAATTAAAATCAATGTAATATTTTATTCTTCTTTATCAAAAGAGCCCAATCTGGACTCAGGCAGTCTCAGTCCTCAGCTTTACCAGTGAGTGACCTTATGTACATCCCTATTCTGCATGGTGCTTCTTTTCTTCATCTTTAATTTGAAACTCTTTATGAGAGTCTTTACTATTTAGAACTTATTACATTATCTAATAACATTTTTAGAACATTAATATACTGGCTAGAAAAGGTACAGGCAGTATGCAATTCTAGCACTTCACAAATACAAAGAAGTATTTGGCCTATTCCTCTTCCTCTAAGCAGGAGAACTTTGCAGCAGATTAAACAAAAGAATAATTCCAATTTAAACGATCTCACTTAATTTCTTCTAAACTTATGCCTCTTTTTTCATAATGTCATATATGGCCTACTGTCAAAAGAACAAATAAACACTCTTTATAACTGAAATAGTAGCAAAGCATGCAAAAAAGGAAATGTGAAAAACCTGGCAAACCCCAAGCAAAAATATTTAATTCTAAGTATAACCACACAGAAAAGCTAGAGCCTTAGTAATGACAACAATAAAAAGTCATCTCATCAAAATACATCAAAAAAAATTAGAATACTGCATTTTAGAAAAATCAATGAACAAAAAACTGCACATTGGTAGAATGTGTGACTTTTAGTAAGATATGAACATCCTAGGACCAGCAGCATTATGAAATGTAATGCTCATACACAACTAAATCACTGTAAAAGTCAGAGAAGCCAGACACAGCGAGGCCACCAAGAATATGCCTCCAAACACCTGCTTCATTCACATTAATCTTTCTGGGCTCTTCAGGCAGGAGGTAAATTCATTAGTTTTCCCCAGAAACAAGGAAAACAAAATATAGTGAGAGCAAAGAACAAAGCCCTAAGTCCAAAAAAATGTGACATCAGCCCCAGGATTTTTGGCGTATGTTCACACAAAGAAGATGGCCTCATTCAGGATGAAGAGTCTCTTGAAATATGCTAAACTCATTCAGGTCAAAAGGCAAGATTCAACTGCAGATTGTAATTCATTTAATAAATAGCATTTCTCAACTTTTAAGAAGACTGTTTTCCAAAGTCTTCACTGTTCAGCAGAGATGAAGTGCACTTAATAGTTTATTTGTCAAATAATAATACCCTCTCATAGGGTATTGTTCAGAGAAAAAAGGAGAGACGATACATGAAATTGCTTGAAAGAGTTTAAAAGAACTATAACATATTGTAAATAAAATTAAAACTCAAAACTCAACTCAGTGTAATATTTCCTTTCATACATGAAGTTGATAATTCTCTTACTTCCTATTCTAAAATACATTATGTATAAAAGCATATAAATGTAAACATATATATTTAATTAAAAGAATAATAGTTTTTGATGGACCGTGATATATATCCCTCTCAACTTAAAGAATAGAACATTACTAGGGTGCCTGTGTGGCTCAGTAGTTAGGCGTCCAATTTATTATTTTGGCTCAGGTCATGATCTCACAGTTGTGAAATGCTATCTCTCTCTCCCCACCTCAAAAAAATAAAAATAAAAAAATAAAATTGACTTTACTAATAAAATTTACTTTACATAGTTATTATTGTTTGCTTTCACATTAAAGGGGGGATTATAGTCAAGTGTATTGATGATGTGTAAAAGCCCTAAACAATATTCAAATATATTCCTTAAAAGGAAAACAAGAACATATTAAATAAAGAATATCAAGAGAAGATTTGTTTTTTCTCTTAGGAAGTGGACTATTAGAAAATGGCATTAAGGTATATTATAATTAAGGAAGATGGCTCAATAAATAGGTAGTCTGACAGTAATCAATCCCAAGATATTGTTCACCTGAGCAAGTGATGGAAGAATCTTCTTGCATATTTGCTGATTTCATCTCTATATTCCAATATAGTTGTATCCAGAAGTGGTCTTGTTGGAGCATAGAAGGTTCCAAGGCTTGCCTCAAGCTGTGCTGTGGAATTCAAACAGAGCAGCACTAAAACAAGTGAAACTCCTTCAATTACAACAGAATACTCATGTTTGCAGTCAGTCAGGTTTTGCAAACTTGGATGAAATGTGAGCTTGTTGCAGGAAAGATGAAATTAAAATATGACAGCTGGTACAAAAACAAACCTGTGTATAAACTTTCACTTGAGGCAAAGCTGACAATGACTCTGAGCAACAAAAAGCTGTCAAAACTGAAGAAATCCATAATGAACCAACCTCTCACCACAAATGGGTAATTAAAACAGTGACTCATCAAAGTAACACAGTTTGAACTAGTACTTCCAGTAAAATCAACTCACAGCATGCTGAACATATACTCTTTAATTAAAAGGAGAAAACTAACCTTTTTGCACTAGGGATTGAAATAAGTATCAGAAATGTTTTAAATAAACATTCAAAAATAAATATAGCCCTATTGGAGTACTAATATCCTTCTCAGACAGTTGTAAAGAAACAGTGAAAGTCCCCATACCTCCCCTAAATCTCGTTCTAATAGACAAGTTGTTGGTTTTGTTCAAGTGTGAAAGCTAACACCCCTGGGAGGGATAACATGCTAATCTGCTCTTGGTCAACTGACACCTTCCTAGGAAAAAATGAATGGAGAGCAAGTTTTGATAAACCAGAGGGCTAGAGACTGGGAGAAAAAGGCACATTTTGCCTACTTCATAATTTTACCAAGCCATGCCTTTGGGGTTGTATTTTCTCCACAAAATAGCTGGAAGTTATATAATCATAATAATAGTGAGCACTGTATGAGAAAACTACAGTTTACGATAAGACTCCATTGATTTTTATGCCACTAAGTGCTAGACTGAATAAAAAATTCCTTATTTAGCAAAACTCTTTAGTTTTAGGCATATTCGGGTTTGAAAGTATTAAATACCTCATCAGAGTAATTGTTATGGACTTGGCTAAGCTGTTAGTAATTTCTTTTTTTTTTTTAAACTCAAATCTAGACAGTAAAGATGAACTTTAGAGGTATTTTCTTTCAAAGCAGCAGTCAATTTAGATTAAAATTGAATACAGCAATGCTATTGTAAAAACAAGCCAGATCCTCTTGCCATTGCTTGTTTTCTTGACAGCATGTTTCGTACTTCTGAAATGTTCAAACCTACATGGAACACTCATAACTCCCAGTACAGTCACAGATTCATTAGATAGCCCAGCTTGATGTTTAAGGCAGAAATGAAGATCTCAAAGATAACCGCAACACAAGCACAAATGAAAGAGCTCACTGGGTTCCACTAATAAAAGGAAAACAAATTACCATGTCAAATTTGTTAGATTTAGATAGAATAAATCTCAACAGAGAAGAATTCTGAATGTTTTAGAAATGTATTTTGCAGTTACTTGGGGGGGGAAATGCACATACCTACTTAAAATGTACATATCCTCATAATCCAGCATCATGCAAGTGTTTTATTTTAATAGCCTAGTATCATACAAGCTTTTCATTTCCCTATCTTCCCAACACGGTTCCTTGAAAATATCCTTTATTAAAGCAAGAATCTGATAATGCCCATCTGTGAATTCCCCAATAATCTTTCTTACAACACAAGAATCTTACAATACAAATTCACCAAGATGCTAACAATTTCTGAGTGTCCTGAGTGACAGTCACTATTTTATCTTCTCTATAATTTTTCAACTGTAAATTTTGGATATCTTGTACATATTATATGTACTCTAACAGGCTTTCTTTACAGATTCCACTTCCCCCCGCCCCCACTATATACCTAATCTTTGAGAGTATACCAATACTAAGAAATAAGTACTTGAGATAACTCTGTAGGCAGAAATATTACAGTAATATCTAGTACCCTATATTTTGACGTTATACCCTTTTTATTTTTAACTAATATTCATTAAATACCTATGGTAGGCCAAGCATTGTGCTAAGCATTTTCTAGCTGTAGAAATACTGGACCCTCCATAGATGGGTTGGACTACCTCCAAAAAGCACATTCAGTTAACATTAAATAAATATTTATTGTGGGCCTCCTAAGAATTGTGCCAAGTCCCATGACATGTACTTCCTGAAGGAACATGTTCTCTAAAATTACTAAAATGAAGGTTATGTACAGAATTTATCTAAACAATTTCGTTACTTTGGAAACATAATAAAATGGAATAAGAAAATCCATAAACATTCAAAGAAAATCATAGGGGAAAAGCCCTCCAGTGAAGACCTTTTGACACATTTCCTGCTTTCTCTACCTTGTAAATTACCTAGGGACAGTTTTTCATTGTCCACGACTTCCCACCATTAATGTCAATGCTTCTTGCAAAGATTTGAAATAAAGATACAAGTGCAAGAACACGTAGGTACATTTTGTATTAAGTAAATAACTCATAATAAAAATAATATACGCTGGATAATTGGCAAATATAAAAATGAATTTCATTATTGTTTGTGGCATGTTATTTTTCTCTTTTTTCTTAAAACAGTGTCTTATCTGAGGGGTACCTGGCTGGCTCAAGTCAGTAGAGCAGGCAACTCTTGATCTCGGGGTGGTGAGTTGAAGCTCCGTGTTGTACACAGAGCTCACTTAAAAAACAGTGTCTTATCTGAGATTCTATGGGCATAATTACTTACTGAGGGAAAGCAGAGAAATCCAAGTAGGCAGAGGGGTATCAGAACTACCAGTCAGAATGAAAACAAGGAGCAGCAGCCTGGGCCACAATTCTCTCTCTCTCTCTCTCTCTCTCTCTCTCTCTCTCTCTCTCTCTCACTCTCTCTCTCTCACACACTCACACACACACACACACACAGCACACACACAAATCAGTGGTAAAGAATACTATGTGGACAAAAGACTTGGGGTACAAGACAAAAATAATGATGTCTGAAGTGAAGGAAAAAAAGGACCTTTATTTCGGGCCCTCTGTTTATCAGACCCTACAGAGTACATGAAATTCTCAATTAAAATTTGCAATTCGAGCATATTCCACACATGAACTTAGACTGAAACGTACAATGCACTGTGAATTCCAACATAGGTATATACAAAAAAGTTGTTCTTTATGTTGACAAACACTTCACACTAAGTACCATACGGATAATTATTTGATATCTGATCTTGTCAGTTTTAATAGGGCATTAACATTTGTATCTTTTAATCTCTCATAATATAACTCAAAAAACCCTCAGAAGATAACGGACTCAACAAAATGTACGTCATATACATACAGAATCCATTTATCAAATATATTTCATGTCTGACCTTCTCTCTCTGGAGTGAGCTTTTGTCTAAGAAGATGGTTTACAATGGCAGTCATGCTGATAAAGCATTGGTGGCCCAGAGTGTCCCAGTTCATACTGCTCAGGATATTTATTGCCTCATAGATCTCATCACAGTGAATGTACTGGAATATGATGTCTATCAGGCCCAGCTGTCCTCGTGTGAAGATACCTGTCACGAAAAAGTAAAACCAAGTGATTCTTATAAAAATAAAAAGTAGATTAACAAAAAGAGTCAACATTTCCATAAAGGAAAAAAGCAATCATTTCCTGCATTAAGTGCTAGAAATGTGGGATTTAGGGGCCAAGAAAAATGATTTTGTGGTTAAATCTTCATTCTGAATACCAGCTACCAACTCCATCTATCTAATGCCTATCATTCAGCATATATTAATTAACTGATACTCCACATAATCAAACTGTATTCACAGTTTAAAGCCCTGTCTTTAAACGTATAAAGCAGAGGCCTAAATAACAGATGGGGAAAACAGGGTTAGCTTTTGCGGTCTACCTAAAGATTCTTCTTTTGTTTATTCACTTTTAGGTAGACAATAGCTAATCCAATTTTCCCCACAAGTTGTTTAGGCCTCTGTTGTATAAATTAAAAGACAGAGTTTTGATGTAAACACAATTCTTATTGGCTAGCTTCATTAGTTCTAAGTTGTGTTTCCTCTTCAGATCCACATACTTTGGTGTGGATGGGGATAAGTACAAATTGCCATGACAAATAAGACAATATAAATGCTTTTAAGTTTGTTTTTATTAATAGGGGCTCTCGATTGATAGTTTTTTCATAGGTACCACATGTTGATTTTTTTTAATTGGCATTTAAAGACTATTCTTTTTAGGGCATCTGGCTGGCTCAGTTGGTTAAGTGTCTGACTCTTGGTTACAGCTCAGGTCATGATCTCACAGCTTTGTGGGTTCAAGCCCCCCACTGGGCTCAGTGCTGGCAGCACGGAGCTTGCTTGGGATTCTCTCTCTCCTCTAGCTGCCCTTCTCTCATTCATGCTGTCTCTGTCTCTCTCAAAATAAATAAAAACTTAAAAAATAATTTAAAAAATAAAGACTATTCTACTGAAGAAATGATCAGTATTAATCCTGCTAGTGATGCCCTTTGCAGCTAATATTCACTATAAAACATCTTGTCACAATATAAGCACATTAGTTTGTCCTTTTATTTATTTAAAAAATTTTTTTAATGTTTTTTATTTATTTCTGAGAGAGAAGGCATGAGCAGATACAGAATCCGAAGCAGGCTCCAGGCTCTGAGCTAGCTGTCAGCACAGAGCCCGATGTGGGGCTCAAACCCATGAACTGTGAGATCATGACCTGAGCCAAAGCCGGACATTTAACCGACTGAGCCACCCAGGTTATCATTTTAAAATGAAAGAAAATCCACTTCTTTTCTTATTAAAAAAAAAATTTTAATGCTTATTTATTTTTGAGACAGAGACAGAGTGTGGGCAGGAGAGAGGCTGAGAGAGGGAGACACAGAATCTGAAGCGGGCTCCAGGCTCTGAGCTGTCAGCACAGAGCCCAGTGTGGGGATCAAACTCATAAACTGTGAGATCATGACCTAAGCCAAAGTAAGACACTTAACCAACTGAGCCACCCAGGCACCCCAAAGAAAATTGACTTCTAATGTTATGAAGCAAGACCACAAAACAAAGGTGGGCATTCTCTAATTTTGTCATCTTTTACATATGCTTGTTTTCATCTGAAACTAACAATTTCTGTGTAATTAAATGTCAGTAAATACTAGGGCTTTTAAGCAGGGTGTTGCTTTTTCTTATCTTCTAAAAATGGCTGGCTATAACATCCTTTTTCTTCAACTAATATTAACTAATGTTTACTGATTTGAGTAATCCCATAAAAACTTCTCAGTACAAATAATCATAAAGCCAAATGAGAAAATGTATGTAAAATTATCTGTAAGCTGTAAAGTATATAAAAATTACTCCAATTCTTCTTTTTATTACTATCATAATCATCATTTAACTGTAATAGTTATGTGTTTTAGGATTTAAAATATACATATTAGTTCATGCTAAAGATGCCAAAATTCTTCATATTAACTTCAAGTCACATCAAAATGAGAATGTGTGCTATATCTAACAGGACTCAACTTGATAGGGAATCTGGGGAATTGCCCTAACTATATCAAGCAATAAAACCTCACTATTCTTTCTATGTTGGTAGAATCAATGAATGGTACTATCTAAAAGCCTTCACAAGCCTGCAGTCAAGTACTGTAAGCTCTCATAAATCAGGGTGGTTCCTTGGCAGTAGATATTAATCTGTAGGAACTTTACAAGAAACCAAAAATATCTGAAATCTGTTGACTCTGCCTGTACCCTAAGCAATACCTTTAGCAAAATAAGAAACTGATTTGCTGAGGAAAAAAATTAACATATAATCAAAATCATGTTCAAAAGGTGATGAAGAGAAAATGATAAGAAGTAGCCAAAGAAAAAAGACACATGTACAAAGATATGAAAAACTGGAAACTTTGTTTCTGAAATTATACAAGCCAGAAGACAACAGCAAGACTTTTAAAAATGCTTAAATAATAATGAATTAAATTAAGATTCAACACTTTAATGATAAAGAGTTGAAAATTCATGAAGAACCATAATAATCTTACACGTTACTAATAACAGAGTTCCAAAAAAATAAAGCAAAAACTGATAGAACTAAAAGAAGAAAAAGTGAAAACCATAATTATAATTGGAGATTTCTTCTGTCACTAGTCGAGAGAACACATAATCAAAATGAACAAAGTTGAAAACACATGAAAAACATTATCAATGAATTTGACCTAGCATTCATAAAAAACTTCACCCAACAACAGCAAAATACATTCTTTATAAATGTAAATAGAATACCAAGATGGATTATATTCAGAGTGATAAAACAAATCTCAATAAATTTAACTGTTTTGAAATCATACAGAGTAGGTTCTCTGATGATAACAGAATTGGATATCAATACAGAAAGATACCTGGAATATTCCCAAATATGTAGAAATTGATCAATATTCTTTTAAATAAACTATGATTTAAAGAGGAAACTACATAAATTAGAAAATATTTTGAAATGAATAAAAATAAAAAGGGGCTCCTGGGTGGCCTAGTTGGTAAATGCCCAACATCAGTTCAGGTCATTATTTCATGGTTTGTGAGTTTAAGTCCCGCATCAGGCTCTGCATTGACAGTGGGAAGCCCACTTGAGATTCTCTCTCTCTCTTGAGATTTAGAAAGGAAAAAATAAATAAAATAAAACTATAACATCAAAATTTGTGAGATGTAGCTATAGCAGTACTTAGAGGGAAATTTCTAGCTTTAAGTGTTTTAAATAGAAAAGAAATAAGGTCTAAAATCAACAATCCCAACTTCCTACATTAAGAACCTAGGGAGGGCACTTGGGTGGCTGAGTCAGTTAAGCATCCAACTTCGGCTGAGGTCATGATCTCAGTTTGTGAGTTCAAGCCCTGCGTTAGGCTCTGTGCTGACAGCTCAGAGCCTGGAGGCTGCTTCAGATTCTGTGTCTCCCTCTCTCTCTGCCCCCCTCTGCTCACACTCTGTTTCTCTGTCTCTCTCAAAAATAAATAAACATTAAAAAAAAAAAAAGAACCTAGAGAAAGAAGAGTAAATTATACCTAAAGTAAACAGAAGGATGAAAATGATAAAAATAAGAACTAGAAAAGAAAGAATAGAGAAAAACAATGAAATCAACAGTCTTCTTTGAAATGATCAGTAAATCTGACCGTCTGCCTAAATTGATAAAAATGAAAGCAGACATAAGTTACCAATATCAAGAATAAAGACTACAGAAGTGCAGACATTAAAAAATAATGAGTAATATGAATAACTTTACACAAATAAATAACTTAAATGAGATGGATTCCTTGAAGGACCCAAACTGCCAAAGCTCTTTCAAGAAGAAATAGATAACCTGAGTGATTCTATATTATTTAAATTTGAGGTGTTCATAGCAGCACTCTCCACAATAGCTAAAACATGGAAGGAGCCTAAGTGTCCATCAACAGACGAATGGATCAAGAAGATGTGGTTTATCTATACCATGGAATACCTCAGCATCCCTCCTCATCAGGAAATACAAATCAAAACCACACTGAGATACCACCTCATGCCAGTCACAGTGGCTAAAATGAGCCAATCAGAGAACTCTAGATGCTGGCGAGGATGTGGAGAAACGGGCACCCTCCTGCACTGTTGGTGGGAATGTAAACTGGTACAGCCCCTCTGGAAAACAGTGTGGAGGTTCCTCAGGAAACTAACAATAGAACTCCCTTATGACCCAGCAATAGCACTGCTAGGAATTTACCCAAGGGATACAGAAATGCTGAGGCATAGGAGCAC